CCTTCATAAGAAAAAAAAAAACATTCTACTCCTGCTCTACAGATAAATAGAAATTTTATAAACTCTATGGAATGGTAATGTTTAATGATAAAACCTTTGTACATTTTGTGAATTTAAAACTCAGAAGACCTGTTAAATTTCAAAGGATTCACACTAGGCCCTCACACATACTTTAGGTTTCCATTGGTGAACGATCACCATAAGTATTATGTCTGTCTGTATGTGACAGAACAGTGCACACATACACTTCATGATAAGTCATGGTACCACGATTGATCAACACGCTTGCTTAAAACTACGTATTACGTTTAACAACACGAGTCCAATAAGATTTTGCATGCTAAAAATGAATCATGAATTCAGAGCTTTCACGCATAATCACCGAGAGGGGTAGTGTACATACTGTTTATGTTTTGTTCTCGACTATCTCGGGCTCGCTTCACACCATTTGCTGTGTCTTACTGATCAGGAAACTGTATTCATAATATACAGACACTGAAACCTGTAAGATAATCAATTTAAGTACAAAACAAGCTTCTACTACGTTCAGAAACAAGAATATAAAGAAGTACCTAATACTCTTGCAGATAAAGAAACAAAATCTCAGGAAAATCAAGTTAGTTTAAATCAAAGTAGTTTTAAGTAAGACACAGATAGACTCCTGATGATGACGTGGTAAATGTCGAAATATGTAGAGTCCACATTTTAGAAATGTTTTAATTGTGTATCGATTTTAACGTTATGTGTTATTTATTATTTTAACAGATAGGTCTGCTAAAATTTACTAGAAATACATTTTTTTCCCATGTAATGTTATATACATGTTTACTATTGATAAGAACAAGTTCTGCTGGGACGGTATTTTAAAATCTTATCTAGGGCACATAATACTGTTACGACAGCAGAAGTCACGTGACACTGGTAACACCGAATGAGGTCTAGAAAGATCGGCGAACACCACGAATAATCCAGTATTTGCTAGGCGCCCTCTATTCGTGTATATAAGTGTGCAAGACAATGAATCGGGATAGAAAGAATGCAGAGTGTCTCGTTTCCTACACCGCTGTTAATTATCGACGGACTACCTCTCGACTTCTTGCCGCTGGACACGGCCAGCTTCATCTGCCACTTCAAACCCTAAGCCCGAGTATTCCCTGAGCGAACCCGACGCCTACGGAAAGGAGGCTTACTCCTCCAACCTAAGACACTAGAAGATTTCCACTACCTTCGCCAACCCTGGTCTTCAAATCCTCCCGTCACTTGCCAACCCCCCCAAAAGCAATGCCAGTCTCCACACTATCTTTCTCTGGAATGTTCACATATCATTCTCGCCAGAATAAATACTCTAAGCCCTGCTACCTACAACAAATTCCACGATCCACGCAGCCTACCAAATCCAGTCCAAGAAAACAGGTTTACCCTCCACGTTCATGAAAGTTGTCACAACTTCTAAACACACAGCAGATCTCAACCTCTCCCACGGTTGCTTCCTCGACTACCACCATTTCAAAGCAGAAAAACCCTATCACAAGCCCCACCACCCCATACCTTTCCTTACCCAGC